ATTTTGAAATATCTTCTCCACCTCCCCCCCCCCTCAATAGACATACTTTATGACCGGTCCCTAACATTGACAATTGTATAATTATATACATTGTTAAATAAAAACTTATGCAATCCACATTTGTAATTTTTCAGAAAATGTCACATAAATGGGGAAAAGGATACCTTTAAGGCTGCTCGCTGTATAGGGAGACAACCTGAAAGTGATGTTTGGGTTTTTGGGCCAGATTTATAATTGAATGGTGACGGAGAGGTTGTAAATGAAGAGGTAACATCAATTGGTATGGGTCCAATCAATTTTTGATGCGGACAAGCATGGACTTGGTACTAATAGAAAACGAAAGTCGGCCAGCTACATGCTAAGTATTAAACTTCTGTTAAGTTCATTATCACTGGGTGAACTTGTAAAGTCATTGCTTAACGTAATCCACAACAATGGTACAGCAGGTGTTTTCACTATTGGTAAGTTATGTGGTTTTTATGCCTTTGATTTATCCACGCGAATTTTGCGTCATCATTTTTGAAATTATATAAAAGACAATAGATGATAAACAGTTTAAAACCCTAAACACTTGGGCCGTGCAGAAGGGTTTGCCTTTGGGGGGGGGGGGGGAAATTGGGGGAATGTCAACGTCAAAAATATTTCCTGACTATAAAACTTAAATGATTTCATTTTGGAGGGCTGTTGCACCCTCCATACCCCCCTGTTGACACAGCCCTTGGGAATAAATTAATAAACATATTGCCAACCGGAACATTTATATAATTCCCTATCTATGCACTGCTATTTTAAAATGTGTAGCTGAATTGACTCCTTCGATTGCAGCTGGTTTATTGCTTGGTTTGCACTATGAAAGTATCATTGATCTCCTGGGATTTTGCCAGTTGTATGTGGCACCAATGGGCTTGGAAAAATACAAGCAGCTAATGCAGCGCTCAGCCTGATTGTAAACTTTTATGCGAGTGTGAAGCAGAGATTTATACCAAGACTATGCAGCAGGTCATCTTTACCACCGGTCATTGATGATGTTAAAATTGCCAGTATTCTCGAAGATGCTGCAATTTTGTTTTAGAATAATGGAAAAGATGGGACGCGCCTTCAGGAAACAGAGCCCAGAACTTGTCCTTTATTTACCGTCAACTATGCGACGCTGGACTGTGTGAATAAAGATCCAAGGTACAAACAATTACGTTTAATAGATATGATAGAAATTTATGCATGTGTCAGATGTTGGAATGCGAGGTAACCGTGTTACCTGCAAGTGACTGGAGCTCGGCTGCAAACCTGGGTCAGGCCTTGTGCACGCTAGTATGTACTATGGTAGAAAAATTTAATTTTTCCCAGTATCTTTTCAAATATTTACTGACCAGATTTAAAGATGCAAATTCATCAATTGATGCAATCAAAAAGTTTATTAAAAAGTTCGATTATACAAAGTTCGATTATTTTCATGTTCTGTACGTGGGCAAAATGTATTTATCAAATATCAAGCAGTCAAGCCCGGTGTTGTATGTGTTTCCGATATTGGCAAAATTTACTTTCTCAGGCACAATGTCTCAAAACGTTTGCCCCTGTCTCCAACTTGTCGCAATCTATGCGCTGTCCTACACCTCTTCCGCTGCAGCTCAAGGCTAACTGGAAATTGCTTTTGGTTACCTGCAAAATATTAAATATACATAAGTATGAAAGCACTGACATACATTATGTAATCAATGAAATATTGACAATATTAACAGCTTGTGTGTAATTATTTATAGAATATGTGGATGTTTGGTTTTGGTAATGTTTGTTCAGGGAGAGTAACCCTCATGGTATGGAAGAACAACAAGCAGCTGATAATTGTCTAACTGATGGGTTTGAAAGAGCATCAGCTTCAGCAGGGATGATGGTTGGTTCGTAGGTCTGTTGCCTACCTATGTCAAACCAGGAACAAGGAATTGTGCATGGATATATGTCCAGAGAATTTCCTGAGATGGACAACAGATGCCGGAAGAATTACGCTCTATTAATAAGTTTTGTGGAAAAGGTAATTATTTATGCAATCTGTTTATATGATAATTGTTTTATGTTTTCGAATAAATATATTGCTCAGCATTGTATATTTTGAGTTTACTATCTTATAACATTTCGTATAGCAATTTTGTTAAGGAAGACAAGTTGTCATAGGTAGTAACATGCACCTTCTGAACTTATACACACCCAATGAAAAATAATAAAAAGTCAAAATTTGGTCAACAGCATATATCGGATTAGTTTTGTATGTTACATGCAGGTTATTGAAATGGCAGATATTGATGAGCTCTAGGCTTCTACAGATTATGTTTGCAACTTTTTGCATTTGGAGCAACGTTTTATGATATCAGCAACTTGAAGCAACTTCCGCCAGAAAATGCATAATTTTTGGAAAATTCTGGCAATATAGACCATGTGGCATGTAGTAAAACACTGACTACCGGAACACCGGAACACCACCATTTTGTTTGGGGTTAGGGTTAGGGTTAGGTGGTGTTCCGGCGGTGTTCCGGTAGTCAGTGTTTTACTACATGCCAGACCATGTTGCTAATTTTATTTACAGAAAGAAGATACATATTCTCTTCAAGCTCTTTATTTTTCTTGATCATATGAAAGAGTAGCACGACAAGGCTCCAAAATATTTTCCTTATCCTTGGCCATTTGACAAACTTTTTAGCTTACCATTACTTCTACAGTTTGGGAGATCCTATGGCAGTCAGCAGCTTGACATATTTGCAAACATCCATAACAACCCCCATAACTGCAAGTTACATTAATGCTTAGATATAATAATAGTCAGAGGAAGTAAAACGTACTGTGAAACCAGGGTTCCAAATGGCATTTTGCTTGTGCCTGGGGTTCAGTATTCAAAAATATTAATAGCCCAATTTTCCTAGTTTTCAAATACCCCCAATTTTTTCAAATACCCCCCCCCCCCCATTTTTTGGGAGTGACTTGCGAGAGGTTTATAATTACAATATGCACAATTTTAGCATTTCTGGTATTGGTAATGTCTTTATAAAATTGCTGTTGTAAGTTCTTTTGAAAATCAGTACTAGACAATTTGCATCAGGGGAAAAGTGGTTAAGTTGCTGGTTTAAAGGTCAAGTGCAGCTTAGAGATGAGTGTGATAATATTAAACATTTTTAATATGAAAACTCTCGTTTTAGAACTCATACAACAAAAACAAGACCATGCCTACGCCCACAAATTAAAAATTACAATGTATGCCAAACAAGAATCATAGTTTGTCATTGTGTTAATAATCATTGCTTCAATAAATGAGTAATAAGTGTAATAATAACTAACATTCAGTGCATTGAACTGTTGGTAGCTGTACTGAATATAAAGAATATAATACATTTCTTGTTTTTTTTCTGTTTACACCAATGTTATTGCAACAGATTTGTGCAAATGTAATTTGAAATCACACATTGTAATTATATTTATGTGAACTGCCTAGTTTTCTGGGACGTCCTAGAATTACCTTATTTGGAAAAAAAGTAGGCTGTTGTCGTCAAAAACTAAGACGTTTCCAGACTCCAAAATACCAATTGCACGTAATGATGTTGTATTAATCTAGATCTAGACATGTTGACAGAATAAAAACATTCTTAAAACAGAGATTATTAATTTAATACCGAAACAGCAATTAGTGACAGTGCCTACTAGAACGGAAGCTCGGTATATAAATGGGACATTCCACATCACCTCAACCCTCATTGATCACATTTACTGTTCATCTGAAAGAAATGTTGCTTGTATCCATATCCCACCACTTTCACTCAGTGATCACTTTCCTGTGTTTCTCGTGCGTCATGCAATTGCTGCTTCAAGGCAGATGGGAAATAAACCCAGCATCATTCAATACCGATCACTATCTAACCTTAATGAAGTCAATTTCCGAAACGATCTACGTTCTGCCCCATGGTCCTCCATTGAAACATATGATGACCCTTCCGATGCACTCGCACAGTGGTATCAAATCTTTCAAAGTATCATTGATAGACATGTACCTCTGCGGACGAAGAAAGTTAAGTCTTTACAGCTTCCAAAGTGGATGACATCAGAAATTCTCGCTGGAATTAGCAAATGAAATCAATTGAAATTGCAAGCACGAAGCGGTGTTATACCATGGGAAACTTTCACACACCAACGAAACAAAATAACAACCCAAATAAAAGAAGCAAAACAGAATTACTTCAAACAAGAAATCTATCAAAACAAACATGACTCTAAGAAACTATGGAAACTGATGAAAGATGCAGTGGACCTCAATATGAACAAAGCAACACCTAATAAGATACTTGATAACACTGATTTGATCACGGATCCAAAAAAAATCGCGAACATTTTCAACTCCCATTTCTCCCAAATTGCCAACACTGTTACCAAAGAATCTGCACATCACCAGCCTAATTTTCATGCCTTGCGTAATTTTGTGGACACTCGACTTTGCAAAGACCATCAATTTACAATTCCGCCTATGACTGCTGAATATCTATTCAATGAGATCAACAACCTGTCATGTCACAAGGCAAAGGGATATATATAATATATCATCATCCACATTTTCCCCACCCTTATCACATCTTACTCGTGATGGGAGACCCCAATCATCGACAGCCTGTGTAAATAGGTTAAGAACAGTGACTGCTTTGTTGTTGTTACTGCATTTCAGAAACACAGGTATACGAGTATATCCATCGACACAGCCATGCACCACAAAGCGCCAGCGGATAAGCTTGTGGTTTCCATCTACGTGCCACAGAACAAAAGGACGGGAAACATTGTACACTCTACGATGGACTGTCCTGCACCATCTAGCAACTATTCCCAAAGCATCGACGCGAGTAAGTGACTCCCTAATGCGGCTTCTTTGAACATTTATATGCATTGCCCGCAGATATCCAGCAAGAAGTTTTGAATCACAATCAGGTGAGGTACTTTTGATGTCTCTCACAGCATTGTCCAACTGTTCATCAGCTATTGCTGTAAATCTATTCATTCCTGTAAGATTGTTCGCACTCATGCGTCGTTCTACAGTTTGTTTTGATACTTTCAGGATATCGCTCATATCTGCCACTGAAAAGTTGCAATCCATTAGATATTCAATCTGCTCTTTTGAAATATTAAACGAAGGTTGACCTACTGAGCCAACATTATTCAATCTGCTTTCATTTATGCCTCTGTGAATGTTAATGTTCCTAGACAACACATCATGAGCTTGCATTAAAAAGTTAAAAACCTGTTCAGAAACCCTATCAAACGAATCCAATAAGACAACACATTCCATTAGAACCTCAAGAATTTCCTATATGTCATTCATATCCAAATCGGCATGAGCTTGCATTAAACGGTCCCGAACTGATAGTAGTTTATCATATATGATTTCCTTCAAACTTTCGGTTTCTGCCGCCATTTTGAACAAGTGCTACCGTGTAGTGGCCAAACCTCTGAATAATGAAAAATAAGCTGAATAATGAAAAATAAGCTGAATAATGAAAAATAAGCTGAATAATGAAAAATAAGCTGAATAATGTAAAAATAAGCTAAATAATTAAAAATTAGCTAAATAATGAAAAATAAGCTAAATAATAAAAAAATAAGCTAAATAATGAAAAATTAAGCTAAATAATGAAAAATAAGCTGAATAATAACACAAAATAAGCTGAATAACACTAAAAATTAGCTGAATAATACTAAAAATTAGCTGAATAATACTAAAAATTAGCTGAATAATAAAAAATAAGCTGAACAATAATAAAAATTAGCTGAATAATTGAAAATAACCTGAATAATAATACAAAATAACCTGAATAATAATAAAAATTAGCTGAATAATTGAAAATAAGCTGAATAATTGAAAATAAGCTGAATAATAACACAAAAAAAGCTGAATAATAACACAAAAAAAGCTGAATAATAACAAAAAATAGCTGAATAATAAAAAATAAGCTGAATAATAATACAAAATAAGCTGAATAATACTAAACAATGAATTCAAAATATCGAAATAATGCGAAAAATAATGAATAATATCGTATTTATATAATTTTGGTGGACTGGCACCCCATACGCGGTGTCCACAATAATTTTTGCCAGGATTGTCTGAAATTATCACATATTTCAAACCGTCCAATTTCATGAATTTAAGGCTAGATCCAATGATAAAATAGGCTTGTTTGTTTAGCAAAAGGGGCAAACAATTAGTAAATCAGGTTATATTTAGTTTTTTTTTTAACTTTCCGATCTATGTTTAAGTGTCACCTATCACATTACGTGTCAAGTGGCTTTTTACATATTATCTGGATTTATACAATTACAACTTAGTCTGCAACTCTACAAAGCAATATTTTCGTATAACAAATTATTGAACATTGTAGAGGACGACGATATCTTAGTACTTAGTCAAACCTGAGTGCAAAATTTTCAGACAAAAAATGTGAGGTTTGTTTAGCTCATAAATTACAGCCAAGCAGATCTATCTTTAGTTCCTGAGCATGAATCATTCGCATTATTGGTAATACATGCATTTCAAAATGCAGGTTCTTTGTTAGGATGCAACATTTTGCATTGGGTTTGTAGCATGGAGCATCATATTCCTGTGTATTCATACAATATAACTGTATAAAACTGTATAAATGTGTAAGTAATGTTATTTTAAAAGTTTAGTGAGTTGATACGGTACACAGCTGTGTAGTGTAACCAAATTCACACTAAATATAACAGACTATATAGGGCTATTTTAGTGTATACGCATCTGAAGCGCTCATTATTTTCAGATTTTTTATAACAAACGCAGCCCAACAGAGACTGTAGAGCGCCATTAGTCTAACAGTGACGTCACACGGTACACACTTGTGCAGCGTATAGTAAATAATACACAGCTTAAATATTTTTATCACCACGCTACACAGCCGTGTACCGTGTGACGTCACTGTTGGATTAAAGGCGCTCTACAGTCGCTGTTGGGCTGCATTTGTTATAAAAGATCTAAAAATAGTGAGCGCTTCGGATGCATATACATTAAAATAACTATATAGTCTGTTATACTTGCTGAGAATTTGCTATGCACTTAATAAAGTACTTTTGTTGAAAACTCGTCTTACTGGGTCTGCATAATTAGTTCAGCAAAGCATATATCATGGCCAAAAGCTGCTCACCCACAAAATTATAAATATGCTATGTTGAGAAGCATATTATTATTGTTTAGTTTTGTCAATTTATGACATAATTAATTAGTAACGCAGTTTCCGGCCGAGAGAAAAGACTGGGTCGAGAGCATGCTCTCGAGGTCTCTAGGCTCGAACAAGAAAAACTGATAGATAATCATTTTGAAGATGTACACTTTTATAGCTTTTTTGGTAAAATATATTGTTCTTTATTCATAATCGGAGAGACTAGTTAACATTCGGCGATTCTGCCAGGACGTGGCAACCGAAAGAACCGTTTTTATAGCAGATATTTAGTATGGCAACCGAAGAAAATGACGAAATCGAAGTTGATATGAGTGCTGAGAACAATATTACCAGTATCAACAGTGATAATGTGGTCGAAAGCGAACAACAAAGTCAGTCTTATTCATCGAAACAACATGCGGAGATGCTGTTGAAGTTAAGAAGGGAGAAAAGAACCCGTAAAACGAAGGTAACTAAGCTTAAACATCAATTACAAAAATTATGCAGTATAAAGGACGGAAATATAGACACTGCTCAAATCGAAAATTGCGTAAGTGAATTGTGGGAAATTTTAGAGGAAACACAGCTTGTAATGGACGAAATGAGTAGCTTGTATTTACAGATGAATGATATGAAACTGCACAAAGAAATTATGCAAGAATCAGATACTTAGAGCTAGAAATACAGCAGACTATAGACAGTGCACAAAAGATGTTAGTTGCCTCACCCCAAGTATAAGAAAAAGACAACCTAGTCGACACCGAACCAGTTTTGCTCACAGGGGGAAATTTATCGACCGAATCGAATAACAATTTGCAAACAGAAGTACAGACCCCTAGTCACCAGGACCCAACCCCTAGTTCCCAAACTTCAATTCCACCTGGTACGCAGACTACGACCCTTCCATGTCAGAGCCCTAGTTACCAGACCCCAATTCCACCTGGTACCCAGACTACGACCCTTCCTTACCCAACTTCACCCCAAATGCAAGGGGGTAATTCAGCAATTAATCGTCACCTTAAAGCTTTGCGCGTTCCTGTTTTTGATGGTACCAAGGCCAAATTTGAAGAATTTTGGAGCTTGTTTCTGAGTTTAGTAGATGCTTCAAATGAACCCATCAATCTCAAAACGGCAAGATTACAGCAAAGTTTAACCGGCCGAGCCCATGATGCAATTCGAGGTCTAGGGGTATCAGAACCCAAATACACAGAAGCGAAAGAAATTCTTAAGACAAAGTTTGGTGGGCAACGTCGGCAACTAAGAGCTTACATGGATGAGTTAGACAGTATACCAGCACTGCGTTATAATGATGTGGACAATTTTGAAAGGTTTGCTGATTTAGTGAGAGTGGCGGTTGTGAAGCTCAAAGCAGAAAACCGACAAGCAGAGCTTGGAGAGGGAACATTGCACAATCAACTCGTACGGAAGTTACATGATCGACATTTAGAGTGTTACAGTCGTTGGTTAAACGTTCATAACAAAGAACCAGCAGTTACTAGTTTGTGTGACTGGTTAAAAGAAGAAGTGGCAATCAAGATTGAAGCGAAAGAAATGGCTCATGGGTTGGATGAGAAACTGTTACCTGAGCGACGACTCCCGAGAGGAAAACCTGATGAAGGTCGCCCAAGGTCATACTTTACTGGAAAAGAAGTGGACGACCGCTTTCAAAACTGTATAGAAAAACGAGAAGAGAGAACCAAGCCACCCTGCGTTTTCTGTGGTCAGGGTAACCATGGGATATGGAATTGCAACCAATTTAAACAGAAAACAGTCGGAGAACGGTGGAAAGTTGCAAAAGAAAAGTATCTGTGTTTTCGTTGTTTATCCAATGAGCATCGTGGAAAGAATTGTAGACGGACTCGCCCATGTGATGTTGATGGATGTCAGCTCACTCATCACCGACTACTTCATGACACCGCCCAAAGCAGGAAACCAGGTCCTGTACTTCCAGACGAGAGGGCGGATCCTTCACGGGAGGGGGCAGAGAGTTTGACAAATCTTACTATGACATCGAACCGGTCCAAATTGCAACCAGAGGCAACCTCATTCAGAACAGTTCCAGTTTGGGTAAAAGCTAATGGAAAAAAGGTGAAAGTGAATGCAGTGTTAGATGATGCCTCAAATGAATCTTTCATGAATGAAGAAGTTGCTGGCCTCCTTGGATTGAGAACTACTTGGCAATCTGTACAAGTACGAGTGTTAAACGATTCTGTCGAAACCTTCAGGTCAATGCCGCTGCAGATCGATTTAGAGAGTGATGATCGCCAGTTCACTAAAACCATAAATGTTCAAACCTGTCCTAGAGCAGTTACAGGGAGCTATCAAGTGGTGGATTGGAGTCAATATCAGTCAAACTGGCCGCATCTTTCCCAATGCAATTTTGCTACGCCAGCTAAAGATGGGTTTACTGATTGGTGTGGACAACCCTGATCTGCACTTCTCCATTGTTGATTTCCAAGGCCCCTCGGGAGGGCCAGTAGCTCGTCTCGGCCCGCTCGGTTGGACATGTATTGGGTCCGCTGCTAAAGATACCAACCACCATTCAAGATCCCATCTGGCGAGAACATTGCATACCAAAACGGCAGATCCAGAGAACAGATTGACAGAGTGTTGCAACCTTGATCGTACAATGCGTAACTTCTGGGAAATCGAAAGTACTGGTACCGACAAAGTTTGTGCAAAAGCTATGACCGAAGATGAGAAATTAGCCCTTGGAAAGGTCGAGAGCTCGTTGCAAACAGTGGATGAGAGATACCAAGTTGGTGTACCTTGGCGAAGTGATCGACCAGAGTTGCCGAACAACCGTCAGATGGCACAATCTCGCCTGGTCTCCACCGAAAGAAATCTGCGAAAGAATCCCATTGTGGCTAGCGAATATCAGAAAACCATTGAGGCTTATGTACAGAAAGGATATCTCCGGAAAGTTGATCCTGATAAGAAAGAAGCCCCGGGATTATGGTATCTACCCCATTTCCCTGTTATAAGAATGGATAAGTCCTCAACTAAAGTCCGAATTGTATTTGACTGTTCCGCGAAATGTGAAGGAATCTCGCTGAATGACGTCATCCACCCCGGTCCGAAGCTGCAGAAAGATCTTTTTGATGTCTTGCTACGATTTAGGCGGAACCCAATAGCCCTTGTTTGCGACATCCGGGAGATGTATCTTCAAATAAGCATTGATGAGAAGGATCGTCCATACTTCCGCATGTTGTGGAGAAACCTTGACACCGACAGCGAAGCGGATGAGTATGAATTTAGTAGAGTGGTGTTCGGAAAGAACTCG